TTTTTTTCTTGCTCATCCAGTTTTCTTCCAAGCTCTTTTTCCCACTTTACAAATAACAGTGGAGAAACAGATCCAGATATATTAGTCAGGATCTTATAAATGCAAGAAGTTACATGTTTACATATTGTTTCCTGGCTGAAAAAACGTTCCAGTGGATACATGTCCTCCACCATCCTTAGTGGCTGCGGGAGGGCTGCAACAAAATGTCTCAGTTGACAATAACGTCACTCACCTGACATAAAAAATATGCCCTTTTTTTTTTGGATTTCAAAAATAAGAAAGGTTTAATTCACTTTTTTTAGAGATATCTTTCAAACATGGATTTTTTATATTTTATCCATTTACCTGCAATATTCTCTTTCCCTGTAGGGAAGAGATCTGTTCCCTCCAATGGTATTGACAGTGAGTTGTAATCCCACCCCATTTGCTTATGAATTCTGTCCCATACCCTTATGACATTCCATGTTAAAGTGCTTATATTTTCAGAAAAAAATCAATACTTTTGTGGGAGCCAAATTGTCTTATCAAATTGTGACCCACTTAGTGTATTTTCCATTTTTACCCAAATGTTTCCTTGTGTATTATATATCCAGTCAGCTATTAATGAAATCAGCACAGAACAATAATATCTTCTGAAGTCCGGCACAACTAAACCCCCATTAGCTTTATCCCTACCCAATACTTCATAACTAACCCTTGTTTTTTTATTTACCCATATATATTTAAGTATCATCTTATTTATAATCCCAAAGAATGACTCCGGTAGATATATTGGGAGCATATGAAATTTATACAGGATCTTTGGAACTATCACCATCTTTGCCATATTTATACAACCCACCCAAGAGAGTGATCCTATGGATAATTTCCTTAATTCTTTCTTTAATTCATTTATTAATGGGATATCATTTATCTGATAAAGGTTCTTTAGGGAGGGGGTTAACTTTACTCCTAGATAAATTAATTCTCTTTCTCTCCATACAAAGGGGAAAGCTTTCTGTAAAATCTGTTCCTCTGTTTTTGGAACTGTAATATTTAATATCTCTGATTTTGAAAGGTTCATTTTCAGGTTTGATAGCTCTCCATAATATTTTAAAAGTTTCATTAAGTTGGGTAATGTTACTCTAGGGTTCACGATATAAAATAACATCTCATCTGCGTAAGCCGCAACTTTATGCTCTTCATCTCCTATCAAAATTCCCTTTATGTCTATGCTCTTTCGGACAGTCACTAGCAATGGTTCTAAAGAAATAACAAAAAGCAATGGAGAGAGTGGACATCCTTGCCTTGTTCCATTGTACATTTTAAAAAATTGTGACAATGAACCATTAACCTTCACCGCTGCTGATGGAAAACTATACAATTTTTTTATCCATTGTACCATCATGGGTCCAATTCCTAATACCTCCAATGTGTCAATCATAAATTTCGCAAATCCACCCTATCAAAGGCTTTTTCGGCATCAATCGACAAAAACAATGCCAAACCAGCCTCTCTCTTACTCTTTTGCAAAAGAAGCAGTGATCTTAATCCATTATCCCTTCCCCCTCCCTCCCTGATACAGATCCCACCATGGTCTATATATATCCAATCTGACATCAACTTCATCCTGTTTGCTAAAACCATTGCATGTAATTTTGTGTCTTTTCTAAAAGTGATATAGGTCTATAGCTGGAGCATTGGGAAAGATCTTTCCCCTCTTTCGGTATAATTGGCATGATAAGGAGACTGGTAAGAGGGGGGGGGGGGGTTGTTCAGAAGTCTCTATCCATTTTTGGCTGCAGGCATCAGGAGCTCCTGCTACTGACGCTGACCGACACCATGTTCTGGCCCCTACCCTGGCAGAAGCTCCTCCATGCTCTTCAATATCCCAGGAGTTTACTTGACTTGATGCTATACTCTGATTAAAAAGAGCTCCTTTTTTTGAGCAGTGTATTTTTAGACTATTTTATGTGGGGGTGTTTTTTGTACCAACATCTTTTGCCACACAGAAAGGAGATCACTCTCTTACATAGAAAGAGCCCTTTCTATTTTGGATCCACACCAAAACATTTGGCATTAAGAATGAGCAAATCTGCCTGGTTTTGGTGATCAGTTTTGCATATCTTGTTAGAAGTTAAAAGTTTGTGAACTTTCTGGTGAACCGCCTTGAAATTTAAAGGGGGGCAAACCTCATTTATCATTTCTGACCATTTGTAGAGCTAATAAGCAAGCAATTGTCAAACAAAAGACACAAGAAGCTGGGCACTGTCATGACAAACATGTGCCAATGGCAATATTGATAAAACACAAACTAAAAAAAAATAGTATGCCCCCCTACACCAAACAGTATCAAACGGTATCCCTATAGGGTTGTCACCTCATCCCCTTAAAACCAGACACATATTAGTTACACAGGTTCTGTGTCTGATTAAGGTGGTAATTAAATTCACTTAGTGCCTTATCTGAATTAAATTAGCCTCATAACCTGTGTAATTAATGTTTTTTGGATTTAAAGGGATGAAGTGGCAACCCTATATCGCTAACTGCTTCAATGCACACTGACATGATTGGTGTAGTGGTCATCTTTGCTACCCTAATAACCACTACTCCCTCCCATTGACCTTACATCCCATTGACCTTACACCCTTATAACAAATGGCACACAGTATTTCTTTTGGATGGAGTGATATATATTTTATGTAAATACAAGGATAAGGAGACATTGGCCCTGTGGCCTAGCTGATCCATTTTAGACTGTCGTAAAGCATAAGTGACCAATTGGAAAGGGACATGTCACAAATGTCAAGACCACCAGGTGTCTTGGTGCTAGGGCTAACTACAGTAATTAGTTACACAGACAGCAATGAGGGAATTAATCAAGTTACTGATTGCCTAATCACTTAATAAGTGTTGCCATCTTAACTTTACCTATAACAGCAAAAACAGACAGTCTCAATCAGGGGGTAAAGCCCCCCGTATGAGACAAGTGGTTACTCTGACAGCAAACAAGGCTTAGATAAAAAAATTCTCTATATTGACAAATAGTATTTAATGATTATCATATGATAAAGTGCAAATCACTTAACACAGTGCTCAATGCCCAAAATGTTCATAACACAACAACAATTTATAAACAATGTCACTGAATAGATGTCCAGACGTCAAATATATATATATTTTGCAGAACGTGGGCTTTGGAAGCCACCTCTCTCCAGGCAGAGTGGAATTAATAGTGGACGGAGGAAGCCTTCTCATAAAGGGTAATACCACAGTGTCAATAATGACAGAAATATATGTTCCCTGTATATCAGGGTGTGTGCTGATAGCCGTAACAATTGATGAGACTAGGCAGCAATGGCAGTGAAAGCAAGCTGTTAGTATGGATTCAGGAGATGTTAGTGTACCAATCAGCAGTTCACCGACAGTGTCAACAACCACATAGCATAGTCCAGTTGTAGTTAGAAACTTGATATTCCAGTCATGCAGCTGTCTGCATTTGTTAGGGTATGTGGGATTACCCGCTAGGAAGAAGGATAAGTGTGTGGTTTGAACAGTAGGAATGAAGTTAATGCAGACACAATACTGGGGGGTATCGTTGCTCAACCCTATCAATCCAGAAGGGGAGCAAAGCCAGATACAGTATTAGAAGGCTTAATGGCTCTACCCTTATATCAGTTCATTAGGGGAGCCAGAACCAGAAGTGTCAGTAATGTACATAATTAATAAATCAACTCAGTATTGCTGTGTCCAAAAAATGTTGCTTCATTTCATACACACCCACACTGTAGTGTTGAGATACAGTCTTACCACCCTGCTGACCTTCCCCTCATAGTCCCTCCTGCAGACGTTCTCAGCTCTTAGTACTCGAGGCTATAGCCATCCATCCGCTGTTACTCCACATGATCCATCACCATGGTGTCCATGCCTGGGTGTGGTATGATGACATCACATGAAACAGTAGTTTGCCTACCCTCAGGGCACCAGAAAAGGGAAGGGAAAATGCCAAGGTAAATACATTTGTTTCAAAATCAAAGCTGCAGACACTGTTCAACTGTAACACCAAGCCTTTTAGAATGTCTCAAGATACCTGACAGTAATGATCCACAAAAATCCTTCCCTTTTTCTAGTCCTTAACCACTTCAACACTGGGACAATTATATATATATATATATATATATATATATATATATATATATATACTGTATATATATACACACACACAATATATATTTTATCAGAGGTCCTAGAGAATAAAATGTTGGGTATTTCGATTTTTTATTTCACACGGTATTTGTGCAACAGTTTTTCCAATGCTATTTTTGGGGATAAAATACACTTTAATGAATTTTATTGCACACAAACACTATATAATACTTATTTTTTGTAAAATATAAAAGATTATGTTACACTGAGTAAATAGATACCTAACATGTCATGATTTAAAATGGCGTACACCCATGGAGCAGCGCCAATTTAAGGTGCCTTTAAAATTGCCAAAGGCAATGCTTTAAATGGGTGCAGGCATCATCCCAGTATAACCCCTGAAAGCCCAGGACATCATACGATGTCCACATGGGTGAACTGGTAAAGAGCTTAATGCACCAAGAACAGTTATGTAAAATCCAGCCAACCCAACAATTTAAAAAGAAAAGCTAGGGTGCCCATTTCTTTTCTAACAATAACCAATGGCAAATCAATCTGAGCAAAAAAACCCCAAAAAAAACAAAAAAGCAAAGGAAAAGGTCATGTCTCTTACCCACAGTGGTTGCAATACCCAAGACAGTGTAAACCAACGATGCCATATGCTACCATATGCTGCTCAATTGCTAGGAGCCAATGAACATCTGATCAGGTCCTACGTACCTTTTAAATGATTGTCCACAGCCAGGCAGGACACAAATCCTTTCCACTCTCTAGTCCGGAGCCAGGGGTGGACAGACCATTTGGAAACTCGGGCACTGACCGAGGGCCCGGGGTCAGTAGGGGGCCCCATGAGATGTTCCTGGTACCTTTTTCATAGGCTTTTTTAAGTTTGGGCAAGGACACAGGGGCCCCATGATCCCCTATTGCCCGGGGGCCCCATGAATTGTCAGTCCGCCCCTGTCCGGAGCCAATGTTCTGAATCAGTTATGCAGAAAGAATGGCAAAGAATCAGCAATTTTATTGAATTGACTAGGAATACTGTACAGTGTGCTCTAAACAACACATTACATGTCAGACATAATAAAACAAACTGGAACAGTATAATCACCACCTGGAGTAAAGAGGCTGAGAGACACAGCAGGATTATCAGAATAAAAATACACTGCTTTATTTGTCACAAGTTAGCCTGCAGCCTCTTGTGTGTTTATTCTTACCTCCTTGCTGCTCTTGATTCCTTCACATGTGTGTTTGTCTGTGCTCACTTGTGGGCATCGTCTGCTATTCCCTGGGTTTTATGTCCTTCCCTTTCATCACTTCCAGGGCCTCCTCCTAGCTGGCTTGTCTATTTAAGACATGCTCAGTCTGTCCCACTTTACCTGAACAACTTCGTGTTGTTGGATCTCCCGTGTGTTCCCGCTGTGAATCCTGTATTGTCTATCTGTGTACCGACCCCGGCTTCGCTCCTGACCTTGCTAGTTTTCCGCCTGTCCTGACCTCGGCTTGCCCATTGGATTCCCAGTGTCTTCTCCCTTGCACCCTACTCCCATTAGCGGTCTCTTCCACCTCAGCTGGGTGTACCTGGGAGCCGCGACCTGGTCCCAGCCTGCTGCAAGTCCATCCCCACCATCAGGGTCCCTGGTGAACAAGCAGGCTGGGGCTTAGATTCCACGCCCTGGGGAACCCCAAGCTGTGGATCTATAGAGCTCACACATAAAATACCTCCCAGAGTTGAGAGGAGAAGCCACCTTTCCATCAAGAAATATTCACCCAAGTACTCAAAAGGCAGTAAAGCAATATATAGGAAACTCCATAAAAATATCTAAATTTTTTTTCAATACAATAAATTTGCATCCAGAAGCATAGCACAGATATCAATACATATTAGCAACCGAAGGGAACTCACAATTGAGTCATAAGACTGCCCAGCATGATGATCAGGGGTGTATTTACCACAAGGCTGCAAACAAGGCAGTTGCCTAGGGCGGCATTTTTCAGGGGGGCAGCAGCATGTTTCAGTGGGGCAGCACCGTCCTCGAAAGAAGGGATGGAAGAAGGAACATGCGCAGCACGGAGACCAGGTGGGATATGAGAGAGGCTGCAGGCTGCTTGATTGTGTACGCAGAGCCTGACTCTTGTTCCCGGGGATTTATGGAGCTGTGAAGGTGAGTGTCTTATCTCTTCCCGGGGTGGGGGGTTGCCAGTGTATGGGGGGTGGTGGTAGTGGAAGGCTCTCTCGGGTGGGGTGCTGGGGTGTTGTGGGTCAATGTCAGGCTCTCTTCGTGGTGGAGGGAGGTGTTGGTCGGTGTCAGAGTCTCTCTGTGGGGGGGGGGGTAAATTTTTGTGTTGCCTAGGGTAGCATGAAACCTAAATGAACCACTGATGATGATGTCGATAATCTCTAAACACCTAACGAGCTGCATCCCTCTCGACTTCATCAATTATTCTGTTGCTGCTCTTTCATGAGCAAGAGATATTCTGCTGCAACACTGTAGGAAAAAGTGAATAATCTTCTTTGCAATCCTATTGCTGGTGATTTTCTGCCAGCAACTAAAATGCTAGTGAGCAATGACCATTAAAATTATCACTATAAAAAAATGCCACTAGTGTTGCACACTTTAAAGTGGATATGCCCCCCCGAAGACTCCGAGCCAGAGCCCTACAATTAACAAGGAGCATGAGCATGCCTAATTGCAGAGCTATTGGTCTGACTCAGTAAGGGGGGTGTCAGACCTATGTAATGAAACCACTGATCCCCACAGAGAGCAAGGGTCACAATCTGCAGCTGCTGGCAAGGCATAGGCTGTTCTACTTAAAGTTTAGTTCCACCTGAAAAAAATAAAAATAAAAGTCAGCAGCTGCAAAAACTGTAGCTGCTGACTTTTAAAATACAGCCACTTACCTGTCCATCGGTGCAGTGGTGTCCTCACCACCGCTGGTTTCACCCGCCGTCTTCTCTCCCTTGCGCCGGCATCTTCAGTGTGGGTACCCTGCTGTGACAGCTTGCGGCTTCACACCTGGGTGCCAACTGCACATGCGCAAGAAGCGTTGCGCTTTGTGAATGGCCCCCCCCGCAGTTTTCTGGGACCTGTCACGTGTCCCAAATGACTACGGGGAGGGACGGTGGGAGGACAACTTCTGCTTCTGATCACCTAGGTGATCGCATCGAAAGTGGGAGCAGGTACCTTTCAAATTCGGGTACCCCCCCGCTCCCCAAATTCTTAATGGGAAGCGGGGGATAAAGGCTTAAAGCGGAACTTCCCCTTTTGGGTGGAACTCCTTTTTTAGTTGCACCTGCTTTAACCACTTCCCGACCGGCCGTTGTATATAAACGGCCGGACGGTGGCACTGCAGGGTCGGATGGCCGTCTATAAACGGCCTCCCCGCACCATGCTTGTGCGCGCTCCCTGGGAGCGCGCAGCACCGCGATCCGGTGCCCGCTGTGTCCTCCGGACACAGTGAAACACCGATCGTCGGACGGGACCTCAGTACGAGGTCCCGATCATGTGATCACTGATTGGCCAATCAGTGATCACATGCAAAGTAGTAAGCAAGATGTCACTTCTGACATCATTGCTTACTATGTGTGAAATCTGTGAATGATCACAGAGGTCACATGGTACAAGGCTATTCACAAAAGCCTTGTACCATGTGACAAGCTGTGACCAATCACAGCTCACTCAGTACTTCTCAATGAGTGCAGGAATGCACACAGAGAGAAAGAGAAATGATTGCTTTTACATCCTATATGGGTGTAAAAGCAATCAGTGTAAAAAAAATAAAAAAAATCTTCATCATCCCCTCACAAGTAGTACAGTGTCACCATGGTGACACTGTACTGCTAGGGAGACAGTATGTAAAAAAATAAAATAAAAATAAAAAATAATAATATAAAAAAATAAAATAAAAATGTGTAAAAAAAAAATGTTTAAAAATTATAATTTTTGCTTATAAACTAATTTGGATTTTTTTTTTTACTAAAAAGATAACAGAATAAATTTTGGCTAAGATTTATGATGAAATATTATTTATTTGCAATATTATATAAAAAAACACTTTTTTTTCTAATTTTTTGGACATTTCATTTACATAGCAAAAAAAATACAAATCCCAGTGGTGAATAAATACCACCAAAATAAAGCTTTATCTATCTAAAAAAAATGGTAAAAAATTCATTTGGGTACAGTGTTGCATGACCGCGCAATTGTCATTCAAAGTGTGATAGCGCTAAAAGCTGAAAATTGCCCTGGTCAGGAAGGGGGTAAAAGTGTCCGGTCTGGAAGTGGTTAAAAGAAAACAACTTACAGGATATGTTTTGTTTTGATTCACATGAAATGTATTTAGCTGATTTACAATGGTTAAATTGGGCTTTAATGTCCTCTGTATAATGCAACATATGGTGCTAAATAAACAAACCGCAATAAAACTAATATGCAAGTCAGTGAATATGTACTTACTTTTCATGTATTGCATATTCAGTAGAATATTTGCATTTGCTACATAATATAATCACATACAAGTAAAGACATTTTGTGCCTCTGAAGAATCAGTTTATGTCACATTCACTCTAACAAATTTCTTTGTTGAGTCTGGAAACACATTTGCATCGTGTACTTTAGAAAACAACTTATTTTTTATATAACATTAAATATTGATTCTCTCTGTAAGTAAAGCATTTTACAAATGTTTGGTTTCTTTATTTTGTGCAACTCTGAGTGATCTTGGATGCATTATGTACATTTATAATGATATTTCTTATTCTGCAGTTCATGTTTTCACTGCAGTATTGATTTAGGAATCTTAAGGCCATTGTTTATCTGTCTTCTTTGTGTGATGGTTATATCGTACACATACTTTAACTTACAAAAAAAAAAGAAAAAACAGTGGCCTATATTCTTTTCAGTAGTAATGGTAATGGAAATTGACATATCTTTCAAATGCGAAGCAGACACAAGAGGACAGGCAAAAAAAATGTGCAAATCTGAACATTTTCACAGTTTTTCAACCAGGGTGCCCTGGGGTGCCTCGGGGTTTCTCCATGGGTGCCTTGGCAAAATGTCTAAATATTGCCCAAACTTGTATACAAGCCAGCGGTTGGAACAAGCTCGTCTTTTAGTTACACAAAGCCACAGGTTTTCATTGTGCACCATTAGGACCTTCTAGCCACCAGCGTCCTGACAACCAATGGCTTCATCAATTGATAAGGAGGATGTCAGTTGCCTTCACAGCATCCTTGTTTGACCCTCTCCTGCCCCTCTCCATCAGCGCCGGGGTCACATTAGCCCAGTGATGAACAAAAACTGAGGGAAAAAGAGAAACATTGGAACACTAGTCAGTACCAGTGTGCAAATGTGTATTTGCTTTGGTAGAATAAATCACCTCAAACGTTGGGTGTTTTAAATGCGTGGATGTTGCTACATTATATAAAACTTTTAGAACAGTTTTTTACATTTTAGAATGGGGTGCCTCAGGACTGTCCATAATTTTAAAGGGTGCCTTGGGACTGTCCATAATTTTAGAGGGTGCGTTGACATTGTCCATAATTTTAAAGGGTTCCTTGACTGAAAAAAGGTTGACAAATACTGTCATAGTGTATATTTAAAGCTGGGAATGATTGATTCACTAATTCCTCTCTGTCCTTTAACCACTGGCCTACAGGGCACTTATACCCCCTTCCTGCCCAGGCCAATTTTCAGCTTTCAGCGCTGTTGCACTTTGAATGACAATTGCGCGGTCATGCAACACTGTACCCATATGAAATTTTTTATCATTTTTTTGTAACAGATAGAGCTCTATTTTGGTGGTATTTAATCACCTCTGGGTTTTTTTTTTATTTTTTTCTTAAACAAACAAAAAACCACTGAAAATTTTGGAAAAAAAATTTTTTTCTTAGTTTTTGTATAAAATTTTGTAAATAAGTGATTTTTCTCCTTCACTGATGTG